ACATCGCTCAAGGGGTCACATGGGAACTACTCTCTGAGAGTCCCTCCATGAACTAAGGCCTTCCCACAAGATCCCACCACTGAAAGTTTCCACAGACCTTGCTGGTACTGTCACCTTGGGGACAAAGCCATCAATCACATGAACCTTAAGAAAAAGCAAATGATTCAAAACAACCATAAAGCCTCAGAACATTCTACTCCAAAGTCCATGTCTAACTCAGCTTTTAACCCAAATTAGATTAAGAACAGTAGGTGGATGTGGTGGTACATCCCTGTTATCCCAGCACTCTGGGAGTCTGAGGTGGGAGGATCACAATTTTAGCCCAGCCTGGGCAACTTTGTGAGCCTGGGGAACTTAGTAAGGCCCTGTCTTGACATGAAAAAAAAGGGGGAAGAGTGCTGGGGATGTAGTTCAGCGTGAAGATCCAGTTCTGCTAAATAAAAAAAGAAAGACCAATAGCCAAAACTTACTATAGCACAAGGTATAAGAAGAGAAATTTTAAGAGATACTACCTATCATTAAGTTTGAACATCTTGGCTAAGTCAAAACAGAAATTTCATGAGATGGATGGAAGAAAAAGAAGGAAATGGTATGGGCGCTAAAAACTTTATATTTTATGAGGAGGTTAACAGAGACACTGGTTCATACTGATAAATTAAAAGTTAAAATATAAATTTATTGAGCTAATAGTAATAGAACAAATAAAAATGGTGAAAGTAGCAAGCGGTGGCCACCAGAGAATGATATTCAGGGAAATTTTGACCTTGCATATATTTATTTCTCTGTCATTTGAAATGCAAACCTATAAATGATTTTCTTAGTGCTATAATAAAGAAACTACCAAAAAAAAAAAAAAAAAGGAGTCAAGCCCATGGTGTACCTTGAATGACGTGACCACATGTGTATCACACTCATTAGCTGTAAAGCTCCACTGTGCAGGATCACACTGCTCTATGGCACTATGTAGGACTTCAGTTGACAATTCATGGACAGAATGGTGATTACTGATAATAATGGGAGGATGGCAGAGCTTGATGGGTGAGTGACAATAGAGGAGGTCTTATTTCAGATGGCTTTGGTGTGTGATTTATCCTTCGTCCCTCGACAGGAAGTCGCAAAGCCCGTCTAGAATCTTGATATGTGTCCCTTGCTCTCCAGCTTTTACTCCAGCTCCTGAAATCACCTGGTTGAGAGCAAGGAAGTGTTTTGTTCTGCCACTCAACCTGGGAAAGGCTCTTCTTCTGCAAAATGGTTGTCTCTTCAACGCTGGACAGAAGAATGGCAGAAAGGTAAGAGTATATACAAGACGATTAGAGTTCTAGCTTATGTATATAGATTTTTTTTGTACCAGGAGTCAAATGCACAACCTCATGCTTGCCAGGTAGGCACTGTGCCGCTGAGCTATATCCCTGGCCCAGTTTAAGCATTTACTCTAAGTCTACACATTGGTGTTTTCACCTTGTGTTTGTACAAGAGGAGGGCATGGTGCTTCTTTCAGTAAAAGGCAGCAGACAGAAACTTCTTTCTGCAAACTGTAAGCAGGAAGACCCAACGGTGGGAGTTTGAAATGGGGTCAAATAGACCTCCTTTCTCCCTTTTGGACCATGTTGGCATATTCTTCCCTTTATCCTAACTGTTCAAATCTTTGTCATGGGGCACTGCTGCCTCTTATGTTTGTGTAAAATGCAAGGCAACAGCATTGTTGCCCAAAACTAAACTGCTCGATACCTAATTTTTATTGTTTTACTACCTCATCAAAGTTACTCTCCTTTGCATTTTTCAGAAGTACAGGAAGAAAAGTTTGGTTCAAACAAGGATAATGGAGGAGTACGCTTTAGCAGGCTGTTTACAAAGATGAGAAAAAAACAATGAACGGTTGTGCCCCTTAATAAAGAACAGTGATATATTATTTCCAGCTCTAAATTTAAAAGGATAAAGGAAAAATCACTCCTCAGAGAGAGTGTAGCCACATATGAAGTTGTAGCAGCAGGAGAGGATGCTGAATAGGAGAGAAGCGCTACCAGTGCCAGCACAGGTGCCACATAAAGAGCAACAAGATGAAAATACCCACATCTCTCTCTGCTCGCCAATCGGGGCGAGTATGGGGCTCGGTATCCCGGTGGCTTAATTCAACAGAAAACGATAAGAAAAAGATCTCCCTGAGGAGGGTCACGGAAGGCACACTCTTGGGATGCCAAACAGGGTAGAGAAAGACAGAATGAGAATCCTCACGGTAAAGGAACACTTTTCTCCTATCTTTTGTATCTTTCTTCTTGGCGTTCTCTCTGTAAATATCAATGAATCATTGCTCATGGCACCTCCTTTGGAGTTTTTAGCCCTACTTGTGGCTTCTTCCTTTACTGTTGCTTTTGTGGAACATTCACCTCATTGACCAAAAACGCCTTGGGAATAAACATAAGTTAAACAAGATAAATATCTCTATTGGATAAAGCATACATTTGGCTACTCAAATAGAGTAACGACTTCATCAGGAAATATTTTAAAGCTTTTCTGGAAGCTCCAAGGCATCAGACACAAAGACTCCTCCGCAACTGTTGCTCCCCAAACCCTAGAGAGGTGCCGTCCCTCTTGTGCGTCAGCTTTCCAGGTGCATCAGCTTCCGGGGAAGAAGAGGAAGAGGAGAGACTATTCCTTGTCCATCAATACCATGTCTCCGGAGTTAGTTACATCCATCTTCTCCTCTTCCCACTTGGTCCAATCCAGAATCAAGAAAGACTGAGAAGTGTCACCCTCTTTTCTGATTTAAAATTCAGAGAATCACTGCATCACAAAAGAGGGGAATAGATACTGGGGGATACTAAGAGTCTCTCCAGCCTCTGACTTCCTCTCAGATTTTGGTTCAGATGAAGTGTTAGGGGGGATCCTCATAAATTAAAAAATGACATGCTAAAGAGCAGTTGAAAAGTCTTTGACAGGGCTCCAGGGGCTGGCATAGTGTATACTCTATGATATCGGGAAAATTCATGTATCTATTGAAACTTCAGTCTCTTCCAATGTTAAGTGAATACACCAGATGACCTTTCAGGAGTACATGCTAAACATCATGGTATAAAAATGAAGAAACCACAAATAATCTTCCCTTTATGGAGCTTCAAGTGTGATGAAGTAGACATCACACCCTAGAAACAGATGTTCAAATGAGTAGATGCCTTGATGAGGATAATAGAACTTCTATTTCCTCTCATTTCTCCTTGAAAACAGCCATGACTGTGGGAGCTTGTCCTTCTGAGGGAGTTTATGGTGGGTACATTTAATTTGGACGCCTGTCTTCAGGTCAGAGAAAGATGCATTCTCTTTCCACTTGTGTATATTCAGAATTTTTAAAAAATTCTGGGTTTGGCTGTATATTCAGAATTTTTAAAGGCATAACTACCTTTTGAGGCAAATGACAGTCCTTGAATTCTACTATTTGTTCATAACTGAATTCCACCCCATTATCTCTTGTGCTCTGTTTGTGTAGCTTCTCTTTCTCTTTGCGTATAGAATTTACTTACATTAGATTTAATTTTCATCCAAAATTTTTTTTGTTATCTTTGATTTACCTTGGCATTATTTCTCTACTTTTGTTTCATCTGCCTATACCTGACATCTGGTAGGGGTGGGTCCAAAGGCCCGATCAAAGAGTGGACTCTAAGGTGGATGTACTGTGTGGAAATCCACACTGTGAGACCAGGAGGAAATTAGTCACCCTTTTTTCTTTCTGTCCCTAATTTCATCCTCTTCAAAATAAGAAAAATACTAATTTTTACCTTGTAGTGTCTTGAGATGATTACAACAGAATGCCTTTTGAGCTCCCAGCTGCTGTTACTCATGCGGCTGCGAGCTGGTCCTCTTTTTCTACGTGGTGTGTTCATGAACATCTCTCTTTATATTACAGACCCTGCCTGTTTCTGCTTTCTCCTCCTGACTTTTTCCCTGAAAGCTCTCATCATCAAAGGGACTATACTAAGGATATCTTTTGAGAGACAGCATCAAAATATCTTTTGATGAACAGCATCAAAAGGGTAGGATTATGTTGTATACTCCACAGTGCCCCACTTGATAGCTCTCCATGGACATTGCTATATTTCAAATACCTCTTTGGCCTGACACTCAGATGCTGCTCTAACTCACCTCTTGACACTGCTAGACACCGCTCTAACTCACCAGTTTCTCTTCCAAGCTGCGGAACAGTTTGGCTCCAACACAAAGCTGACCCCTCCTCTGTGAATCAAGATGCTTCTAATTCCTGAGAAAATTCGTATTTAGTCCTTACTTCGAAAGCACTTTAGTGGTCAGCTTCAGGTAATTGGGCACACATAAGTAATTCTTGCAAACTCAGAAATGTCCACTAGAATAATTTTGAAGAATGAAATATTCTTAACGTGATATATATGCTTTACATTCTTTTCATTTTTTTCCATTTAACCTAAATCATCCACAATTGTAAGGTTTCTCATGCTTTTCTTCATTTATGGAATAAATATTTAGCATAAAAATTTGGCAATAATTGAGCCCTGGGAATATGAAATGTGTTCCCATCCTCAAGGGCTGACATTCATTGAGATTTCTAGCTCTCCAAGCCCAGCTGTCATCAAACCCTTGCAGACATAGGTTATGGTCACCTAATAGCTCTAGAGAAAGGTGTGCTTTTCTCCAGGAAGGAAACTTTCTTAGGGTGATGTCATGATTACCTTCATGTCTTTATGTATTCCTGCAACTGAGAAAAAAATTTCTGGCCCAGGGCAGAGCAGTGCTGGGTCCACAGCCTTAGCCTATTGAGGGGAGGTGTTTAGCAGATTGCTTCCATATGCTTTAGAAAACTTGTGTTTGGAAGAGAAAGTTCAGTCTGTAGAGTCAACAAATACTAGGTTGATATCTAGTACTAATCGATCCAGGACTACTAAGCTCCAGATAGATTACTTAATCATTGCAACCCTTCTTGTTATAATAGGAACAATAATTCCCATATAACAGGGTGGTCCTGAGAACAAGTTATCATGCAGCATGTTCTCAAAATTGTTTGTATTCACAGGTACACTAGTGAAGGGTTTGTGAGCGTGGATCCAACCATGACATCCCAGGGAATGGAATCCACAACGGTGAATGGAAGTGACCAGGCCTTCTATCAGCATTGTGCTAAGACTTTGATCCCAGACTTTCTGATCATCATCATCGCCCTGGTGGGGCTGGCAGGAAATGCAGTTGTCATCAGTCTCCTGGGATGCTGCATGCACAGGAATGCCATCTCAGTCTACATCCTCAACCTGGCTGCATCCGACTTCCTCGTCCTCTGCTGCCACTTTATTGGTTCCCTGTTTGTCATCCTGTCCTTCAATCACCCCTCTATAGATATTCATGGCATCATAATCAACATAGCAGTTATTCCATACATCGCAGGTCTGAGCATACTCAGTGCCATTAGCATAGAGCGCTGCCTCTGTGTCCTATGGCCCATCTGGTACCGCTGCCACCGTCCAAGACATATGTCCAGTGTTGTGTGTACCCTGCTCTGGATCCAGTCCCTGTTGCTTAGCCTCCTGGACTGGTACTATTCTGGTTTCCTGAATGGGTTTTCTGGTTTTGATTGGTGGAAAAATATTGATTTTATCATAACTGCATGGCTGATTTTTTTATTTCTAACTCTATCTGGGTCCAGTCTAGCCCTGGCAGTCAGAATCTTCTGTGGTTCCCGAAGGATGCCGCTGACCAGGCTGTATGTGACCATTCTACTCACAGTCCTGGTCTTCCTCGTCTGTGGCCTGCCCTTTGGCATTAACTGGTTCCTGTTATACTGGTTTTCAATTGCTTTTCATCACTTCATTTGTTATCTTTATCCAGCCACAGTTGTCCTGTCCTGTGTTAACAGCTGTGCCAACCCCATCATTTACTTCTTAATTGGCTCCTTCAGGCAACAGTATAAGACTCTCAAGCTGGTCCTTCAGAGGGCTCTGCAGGATTCCCCTCAGGAGAATGGAGGTGGAGATGCATATATTCAGGAAACCCTGGAAAAGTTGGAAAGCGGAGTAGCTTAGGGATGAGGAGCCTCCACTTATCAGACATATGTGGATTTGAGAGTCAATGCCAGTGTGCCCTATTCTCTTAGACTCATGCTTTGGAAATGCTTAGCTGATTTTGTGATGCTTTCATATAGATTGTTTTACTTGGCTTTTCTTGTGTCTTAGAGAAAGTGCAAATACAGCCTTTTTGACATATTAATGAATTGCTCAAATTTCCTCTGAATCTTTCTTATTGAATGCTTTTCTTAAAAATTTCATTATGATGGGAAGAATTTCTACTCAAATTTCTATCTTGAAGTTGATAAGGACTTCCTACAGGAAGGTATCAAAAAAGAAGATATCTTATTTTTCTTAGACTGTATTGCACAGAGAATCATATGATTTTCTGTAACTGGGGCTTGGTGCAGGTAAAAAGCTAGGTTTTGAATGATTAAATTCTATTGCATCTATTTACCACTTAGTCTTTGAGTTTAGGGGAAATATTTTCTTTGGAGACAGACTCTCTCCCTTTGTAAGTCCAGGAAATGGGATTTATTAAAATTCTTCTAGTGACACTTGTCCATTGCTAACCAGGCTGCATGTGACCATTCTACTCACAGCCCTGGTCTTCCTCATCTTTAATGGTTTGGTCAGTCTTGCATTCTTACATCTGGTAACCAGAGCAACTTCACTGAAGGTAACAATATGTAATATAACAACCACTGTTAATTCTTATCATTTTGTTTTGAAACCCTGTATTATTTTTATTGTTTTTGTCTATGTTGTTATTTTTTAATTCTCTTTAAAATAAAAAAAGACTAAGACAGTGGGATTTGACTTTATATAGATATAGACTAAAGGCAACTGCTGTCATAAGCCTAGTAGCCTCAGAAGTTCATGGCTGTGCACCATGACTCCTGATTCTCAGGAGCATTATCTGGAGTCAGCTGGCTGTGATAAGATGGTACGCTATGCACTGGGCACCATTACTGTCAGCACACCAATGCTAGCTGTAAAAATGGGCCTGATTTGGTTGCTATTGTCCAGTATATTAGAGTTTGGGAGAAGAGAGCGCTTTACCTACACATCTTTCTAAACTGGTATAGTTGGTCTGAATACTTCCAATAAACACAAAGGGAACAGACTGCTAGAAGATATTAAAGGGGGAAATTAATAATTTTAAATAAAAGCCTGCTGAAGATGTCTGCCAAGACCAAGTGGACATGTCTGCCTGACTCAATGACAGAATACTTCTTCCTTTCTGTAAACCCCTGTTTTTACTGCCTTTATGTAACTGATGACCTTGCAATGTAATTTGAGATGTATAAACCCCCTTAGCAACCCATGATGTCATCCAGCCCTCCAGTCAAATGCGCCAAATCTGCCTTTGTCCCTCCCTGCTTGCCCTCCCTATAAAAGTCCCAAAGCCCCACCTGGCAGGGCTTTGACTCTGGGAGAGATCCCAGCAGGCCCACTGGAATAAATAAACTGCCTCCTAAACCTTCTTGGTATTATTTCTTCCCATGCTTGGTCTATTTTCTGTAACAATATCAGTGTGTGTGTATGTGTATGTGTGTGTTGGCCAGTAGAGAGGGAAGCCTTTCTGAAATACTTGGAATTTGAATGGATGTTTCTGTAATTTACCAAGCTTGTGCCCTCTGCCCTTTTGCGTGCCCATAAACTTTTGAAATTAACGAGGAAAGATATGTGAAACCTGGACAGACAGAAATGGGTGTAGAGGCAATTTATAGTACTATTGTTAATAAAAACATAGAAGTAGTTCAGGCTATGGTGATAATTATGTAAATAATTTTCATTTCTTTATTATGACAATAGTGGTTGTAAGATCATGCTTAAAAAGTACTCTAAAGAGCCAGGCTTGGTGGAGCATGCTTGTAATCCCAGCACTCAGGAGGCTGAGACAGGAGGATTGTTGTGAGTTTGAGGCCAGCCTGGGCTACAAAGTGAGTTTAAGGCCAGCCTGAACTCCATAGTGAGGCTTTGTCTCAAAAAGACTCCCCCCCCCCCAACAAAACATATTTTAACTCTGAATTACTATCAGCATTGTGCAATATCTTTAATGGCTATACAATGATAGGAGTTTGTATTAGTTTTACAAAATTATTTGGAGTCAAGTCTACAATACTAGGAAGCTCAGAAGGCCCAGCCAGGTCAATGCAGGAGGACAAGACAAAAAGCAATGTCCGTATTTTGAACTCTCTTCCAAGGAGTATACCCAAACCTACAGAGTCAGAAGCCAAACACGCAAACATCATGGATCTCAGAGAAGCATATTGTTGATAGGAAAAGCAAGAAACAGTGGAGTGCACTGACTTCTCTGCTGAAGTCTTTTAGCTTGCAGTAGGCCTGAAACTAGGAACAGGGGACATAGTTCATCTTTAAATTCAACATTTTTGTTTTTATTTTAAAAATACAAGGAGGAAAACATTAACAGACAGACAACCTTTTACACAATACCAAAAGAACATTACAGACAATACAGAGTTACAAACAAAGTGGTAGGAAATTAACAATGCTTGTTGTATTACATATTGATATCTTCAAAGTGGTTTCTCATGAAAACAGATA